GGTGGGGTAGGGGAGGACAGACGTTGCAATACTGCTAGAAACTTCCCGATACTGAAACTGGGATTGCATCTAGCTGGCTGGTCTTCTGGCTCATGAGCTGTCTCTACCCTTACCTTCACCTAACTAGCAAGGGAAGGTAATTTGGTTTCATCAATCAAATTGATAACTAAAGCTACGTTTTGAGTGTTAGCCCTTGTCAGAGTGAGGGAAGTGTAAGATGAACCCCATGGGAAACAGAGAAAGTTAGTGTTAGTTTTCTACTTCCCAAAGTGGGAGAAGTAAATTAATAACTTAAAAAAGATATATTCTTAAATGTAAAACTACTTTTTTTTACCTCAGTTGGTAGGACATCAATATACAGGCAGATAAACCACTTGGTAGAGAAGATTGTGTATGATACACCTAGTTTTTCTATATGCTCAAACAAGACTGGAAGCTTTACTCTGAAATTTTAAAAAAGAGATAAAGGAAATTTAAAAGTTAAAAAAAGATTAAGTTAAACCCCCTTGCTATATTAGGAGATACAATAAAGTAATGCATTAGATATAATTAAATATCCTCAACTTACTCCTTTTACTGTTTATTTTCTTTAACTACAAAACTATTACACTAACTCTCATTTCCAAGTAGTTTGCTGCTGACATTAATTTTTCTAATTGAAGGCACTGGACAGTGCTTGATGGATCAGAAACTCAAATATATCTGAAAAAAGTAAAAGATGTACAAGTATTTTTCTAGGATGCTTAATTACAGGGTTTGTACACTTTTGACCTGTTAAAATTCCATGACTTTCCATGACTTTTTCAATGACCTTTTGAAAGATTCCATGACCTGTTTGCAAACATTCTCATCATACGTACTTCTGTTTATTTCTAATGAAATTAAATCTGATTTTTTGACTCATCAGTTAACTTTTCAACTTTGGGTCTTATTGCCTTTCACTCATAGAGAGCATATCGATTTTCCATGACTTTCCATGACCCACACCTAAATTTCATGACTTTTCCAGGCCTAGAAAATGAAATTTTGAAATTCCACAACTTTCCAGGTTTTCCATGACCTGTACGAACCCTGAATTAACACCAATTTCATCTACCAAACCACTCCAGAAAATCCAAAAATTGAGAGTGCCTCTCCATGAAATCATTGGATTGAGGTCAGGTTCTGAGCAACTATGTAGCCACCCCTCCTCTAATCCAACATTCACCCTAATTTGTTATCAGTTGACTGTTGTTGGGTTAGGGGAGGGGAGGTTGGTGCACAGTTGCTCAAATGCTGAGATTGATCCAAATCATTAATGAACAGAATGCTACTGTAGATTTCAAACATTCTTGTGTCTGAATAAAACATCCATACATTCTGCTTTTCTTTCGAAGGAAGTTAAGCTAACAAGCCTGGTTGTTTAGTTTGTTTATTTGTTTGTTTTTTAACTTTCCCTGTCATTAATTCAACTCTAATTAGGATTAATAATAATGTTGCATTCAACTATCTGTACAGCCAATGCCAGATAAATTACCTGACTACTTCACGCAGTGTTTCTTGTTCAATTTGCAAACCAAGCATGTCCTTAGCATAGTAATCTGCAGAAAGACAGTGACAAATACATTTAACAAATGGATGTAAAAAGGTTATTCTAAAAGTTTTGATGGGATTTATCCAAGGTAGGTTCTTTAAAATCTTAATGCAGGCTTCTAACAATTCAAACGTTTCTAAGTTCCTCAGCCAGTTATCAATTTTGTGCAAAGTTACAGAGCACAGCAGTTCCACTGTATAACATATAGGCTTAAACACTTTCACTCCCAAGCTCCCATTCATTATTCTCCTGTCGACTGTCTGCTATACAATTCTTATGATGTTAGTTTGGAGAATTTGGTATTGGATCAACCAATAATCCCCTAATTGATATTTGTCTTTATTCTCATCACTTGTCCGCTTGATATCTTATTGACATTGTCACTCATGGCAGTTAAAGGATTAAGGTTCATACCCGGTAACAGATTCCCAACAATAACATCTAAAAGCCAGAACGCCTCCTCTTCTTTGTTAACAATGAGAAGCATCAATCCTGCAATATAGTTTAGACCCTGTAAGAAAGAATATTGAACAGTTAAAACATAACTTAAACATTTAACTGTGTGGTCACGTGCACTCCTACTGTACTTTCTCCACAAATGTTAATCATGCATTCATCTATCTGGCGAGAAATTTACTTAAAATAACTTGTCAACACTTTAAATTGCATGAGTGATCAAGAGAGAATTTCTCCTCACCATATTGATACAGTTTCAAGCATACAGGTGATGAGAATAAGGGAAAATATCAATTAGGGAGATTATGAGTTGATCTAATACCAGTTTCTCCATACTAACATTATAAGAATCTTATAATAGACATCTAATTGATAAAAATAAGCAAAAGAAGTTTTACACTACATTTCGATGACCAGCCACGTCATCATTTTCATGTGAAAAGAGAATAAAATTTTGACAACTTGATATATACCGTGCAAGGCAATAATAAAAACAACTTTTCCATCTTAAAGAAGTGTAACGGAAAACTGGACTGTCTGATTTATGAAATGTTATTCATAAAGAAGAAAAGGCCACGCTTGAACACACAATCAGACTCCATACGTGCAAAATTATTTATTTAAATTTTATTTAAATTTGTCACTTTTTACATGCATACTTTACAGTGACTGCATTTTATTGCCTTGCACGGTATTATATTAAGTTTTCAAAATTTTTATTCTCTTTTCACTTGAAAATGATGACATGGCATCATCGAAACATAGTGTAAAATGTCTTTCGTTTTTTTTTATCATTTATAAGATGTTCAACCAAATCTAATCTTATTGGAGTGAGTAGGGAGAATTACACGTAGTAGTAATGCGATCTTAGGAGTCAGAAGGTTAACATCTAACAAAAGTCCTATATTTGGTTATCTCTTCACAAACATCAGTAACAAGTCCTTGAATGATTTTGAAAGCAAATTGAAACTAATAATACGAATTACTGCATCTTGATCAGTAAATTTTTCTCATATTTTTATTAACAAAAGGAATCTCAAAAAATAATTTTGTCTTTGAACAATTTACTCATTCTTAATTCATTCCAAAAGAAGCACTCAAAGTCATTTTGACTCCACTTTGCTGAATTGTTATTGTTTTATATGTAAAGATAACTTACTTGGCAATATCCTATTCTTGGGTTGTGCTTGGCATATGCAATTAAAACATTCAACAAGGCTGGCCTCAGGTCATCTTGTCTACTAGAAAAGTGAATGTTATCAGGAAAGGTGCGGTCGATATCTGTAAAAATACAGCAATTCAAACAACAATGTTAAAAGCTAAGAATAGTATAATTATTATATTGGTTTCATACAAATTAGAGCAAATAACAAAACAATAATTAAAATTATTACACGACTCGGGCAGTCAGAGGGCCAATAACTAAAATCAACCAATCAAAATGCTCTATTGCCGGTCAATATTCTCTCAGTATTGGACCGGGCACTGTCCCGAATGGTCCCAAATGATACCGCACTTGTGTCCCTTTGAACTTCAGTCTAT